AATGGGTTAGTACATGCTGTGCATGGGAAACTGACTAACCCCTAAAGCATAACATCAGATTCACTACATGATACCAAACTATTGCAGAAAAAATAATTTAAAAAAAAATGAAAATTTGAAATTAAAAGAGAACAGAAACATGAAAAAAATATTTAAAAAACAACTTTGCAATAATTTCATTAAATTTATTTGGTACCCATATACACACTTACCCACTTAGTCAACATATTTCAGTTAGATATATTTGGTACCCATATACACACTTACCCACTTAGTCAACATCTACTACAGTGGAAACTGATATTTCGAGAAAAACTAAGGTTACATATAGGCACTACACCTGAAATTATGATTTACTTGAATTCCGAGATAAATAATTATTCCGAGATTAAATAATATCCTGTTACTAATTATTTTTAGAATGGTAGGAGAAGAAAGTAGTGCAGAAAAAATTACAAGTTCCTTAACTTGCAGACTTGCATAAAAAAAATTGTGCAGATGTACTAAACTGAGCCTCACACTTGTTGATAAGGAGTATCTTTCCTACCAAAAAAGTTTGGCAAATGTAATTCATCAAGAAGATCAGCCGAATTATTTTGTGTATTATAACGCCAGTTAGAACTCTGAGTTTCCCCTACTTTCACTTTCATTTTTAGAGGTTGCCGCAGACAGACGCATTTTGCCGGAAAACGAATCTGACATGCCACCTCGAGATTTTGACCAAGGAAAGACAAGTTGATGTGCTTTGATTTGAGGGGTCACTCACTGCCATTGTCGCCTATGGGAAAACAATTAGTGGACTGTACCCATATTGGGAAGCCTATAAGTAAGTGAAAAATGTCATAGATCTTGACTTTATTTCAAAGTTGGTGTTTTCTATCATTTCTAATTGTTCAAACTTATGAAAAAAAGAATTCTTATTTTGTTGATACATATTTTCAAACAAATTAATTCATAAATAAATTTTCTAGACCCCCCCCCCCCCCCCGAACAGACTTGTATCACCCATTGTTTACACATGTATCGTAAATTAAATGTGTATCGATTTGTATATCATTTGTTTATTCAGAATCACAAATATATATTTAGATGAAAGAGTAATTATGTGGAAGTACATGCTCCACTGTCTTTTATTTTCATTACACAAAAATTCACAATTTAGGTCGGAATCGGTATTCAATCAGGGTCAAGGTCAAAGTGAAAGTAGACTTAGCAGAAAGTTATCAAAACTGTTCAGTGCTGTGTCTAGCAGTATAAAGAGGATAGGCATTTGTATTTTACACAGAAGGTAAGAGGTATGCCTTAGTACAGTATTTGTAAATTAGAATTTAATGTTTTTGGAACAGGATGATCAACACGTCACATACACGACATACATCATTGCGAATCAGTCGCTCGGTCAAGCTGGGTGCAGTTGTCTGGGAGTTAAACGATGTGTGTGAATATGCTCGTTAACTGATTTTTTTCTCATATTTTTAGCAATTGCATTACAAGTATTTGTTGAATGTACAATTATTGTCAGTTAAACATGCTTTTTACTTATTCTGCTGAATTAACTTGCCAATGTTAACATGGTGATTTCAAGTGGGAGCAAATTTATAATTTTTAATTAATTACAACTTATGGGCATAAAAGGAATATGGTAAAATTGTATGTGTGGAATGTCTGTGTGTCTGTCTGTCTTTAAATGTGAATGTTTGAGGTGTTTTTGAGCCTGATAATTATTGTGCCATTTATTGAATTGATTTCTTTTTAGGGTCATGGTCATTGGTACAGGAAAACCATGAGGTTCATGCAGGTGGTGTTTAAAACTATTGGCCAGCAAACACACACCCATTTGAAAACATCTTGAAATTTCACGGTCACCAGCAAAAAGTGGCAGTTGGCAAAATGTGTAAGTTAAACTTTTCTTAAAAAAAAAAAAATTATTAAAGTGTGTGTGTGTGTGGGGGGGGGGGGGTACATATTAAATAGGTGATAAAATTGTGAAAGTATTCATGTATAGCTAATTTGTACGTGCACTGCTATATATTTTGCAGCTCATATAGATTTTTTTTCTTGTATAAGAATTTCAAAGTAATTAGATCTACATCTTTGTTTTGTAAATAACGCATTATTTAGATTACACGAATAGAAGAATTGAAATTTCTTAAATATTTGACTGTCAAAATTATGTGATTTGTCAGGAAATTCAAAATTTTGTCTCATTTTCCTACAAATTACAAAATGGTTACCATGGAAACAAAACAACTTTAGAAGATTATTTATTTAATCAGGTAAACCACATATTTTAATTTTTTATAGTTAAAATGATTAGATTAGCACTGATTTTGTCTTAAATGAAAAGTACGGGAAAAGTGATGATACACATGTATTGAGCTATCCATTATTATGATGTCATTATGACGTCATAGATGAGTAAATTTGCATTGGCATAAAAATTGCTTTGAAGCAAATGATTGTATATAGGAGTATAAAGGCTTATAAATTTTTTATTCATAGACCAAATTTCATGAATGATGCATCAATGGCAGGAAATAATCAGTACTTTCTTGCTTTACTACTTTGCATTTGTGTGCCTAATGTTTTTTCTGTTGTTCCTTGTAGAAACTATGAATTTATAGGGTGAGAAATCTTGGTCATATTTTGTGCCGGAATACATTAATTTTTTAAAAATAAGAGAAATTGACCCATTTAAATGCTTGATTATGATTTGACTAATTGTATTTAAAGTTATGAAGGAGAGTAAGAAATGATGTAAATGTGTTAATAGGCTAACATTTGACTAAAACTTGGTAGTTTCGGTGAATATCTAAGGTATTTTTTAAGGATATTACACATAGAACTGTATATGCTGTAAAATCTTTAATTAATGGTTGAATTTTCATGAAACTTGCATGTTACCTCTACTTATGCTCTAGATTGACAAACAGTGTGAAATATTGTAAAATCTAAAAAATGCTTTTTCATATTGGGTACATCCCACTAATTATTTTTAGAATCGGTAGGAGAAGAAAGTAGTGCAGAAAAAATTACAAGTTCCTTAACTTGCAGACTTTGCATAAAAAAATTGTGCAGATGTACTAAACTGAGCCTCACACTTGTTGATAAGGAGTATCTTTCCTACCAAAAAAGTTTGGCAAATGTAATTCATCAAGAAGATCAGCCGAATTATTTTGTGTATTATAACGCCAGTTATACTCTTGAGTTTCCCCTACTTTCACTTTCATTTTTAGAGGTTGCCGCAGACAGACGCATTTTGCCGGAAAACGAATCTGACATGCCACCTCGAGATTTTGACCAAGGAAAGACAAGTTGATGCGCTTTGATTTGAGGGGTCACTCACTGCTGAACGAAAATTAGGGACATCGCTATGAGAAGAAACGTTAACATTGTCGCCTATGGGAAAACAATTAGTGGGATGTAACTGCATTGGGAAGCCTATAAGTAAGTGAAAAATGTCATAGATTATTTTGTTGATACACATTTTCAAACAAATTAATTCATAAATAAATTTTGACCCCCCCCCGGGACACAGACTTGTATCACCCATTGTTTACACATGTATCGTAAATTAAATGTGTATCGATTTGTATATCATTTGTTTATTCAGAATCACAAATATATATTTAGATGAAAGAGTAATTATGTGGAAGTACATGCTCCACTGTCTTTTATTTTCATTACACAAAAATTCACAATTTAGGTCGGAATCGGTATTCAATCAGGGTCAAAGGCTCAAGTGAAAGTAGACTTAGCAGAAAGTTATCAAAACTGTTCAGTGCTGTGTCTAGCAGTATAAAGGTGATAGGCATTTGTATTTTACACAGAAGGTAAGAGGTATGCCTTAGTACAGTATTTGTAAATTAGAATTTAATGTTTTTGGAACAGGATGATCGAAACGTCACATATACACGACATACATCATTGCAAATCAGTCGCTCGGTCAAGCTGGGTGCAGTTGTCTGGGGGTTAAACGATGTGTGTGAATATGCTCGTTAACTGATTTTTTTCTCATATTTTTAGCAATTGCATTACAAGTATTTGTTGAATGTACAATTATTGTCAGTTAAACATGCTTTTTACTTATTCTGCTGAATTAACTTGCCAATGTTAACATGATTTCAAGTGGGAGCAAATTTATAATTTTTAATTAATAACAAGTTATGGGCATAAAAGGAATATGGTAAAATTGTATGTGTGGAATGTCTATGTGTCTGTCTGTCTTCAAATGTGAATGTTTGAGGTGTTTTTGAGCCTGATAATTATTGTGTCATTTATTGAATAGATTTCTTTTTAGGGTCATGGTCATTGGTACAGGAAAACCATGAGGTTCATGCAGGTGGTGTTTAAAACTATTGGCCAGCAAACACACACCCATCTGAAAACATCTTGAAACTTCACGGTCACCAGCAAAAAGTGGCAGTTGGCAAAATGTGTAAGTTAAACTTTTCTTAAAAAAAAAAAAATTATTAAAGTGTGTGTGTGGGGGGGGGGGGGTGTACATATTAAATTGGTGATAAAATTGTGAAAGTATTCATGTATAGCTAATTTGTACGTGCACTGCTATATATTTTGCAGCTCATATAGATTTTTTTTCTTGTATAAGAATTTCAAAGTAATTAAGGATCTCTTACATCTTTGTTTTGTAAATAACGCATTATTTAGATTACACGAATAGAAGAATTGAAATTTCTTAAATATTTGACTGTCAAAATTATGGGATTTGTCAGGAAATTCAAAATTTTGTCTCATTTTCCTACAAATTACAAAATGGTTACCATGGAAACAAAACAACTTTAGAAGATTATTTATTTAATCAGGTAAACCACATATTTTAATTTTTTATAGTTAAAATGATTAGATTAGCACTGATTTTGTCTTAAATGAAAAGTACGGGAAAAGTGATGATACACATGTATTGAGCTATCCATTATTATGATGTCATTATGACGTCATAGATGAGTAAATTTGCATTGGCATAAAAATTGCTTTGAAGCAAATGATTGTATATAGGAGTATAAACCCATACCGAAAAAAGTTATAACTTAGTTATAACTTTTGTAACTAAAAAAAGTTACAAAAAAGTTATAACTAATTAGTTACAAAAAAGTTATAACTTTTTCATAACTTTTCACCTTTTATTGAACATAAATACAGCAAGTACATAAAAGTTATAACTACAAAAAGTTATACTTATAAAAAGTTACACAAAAAGTTATAAAATAGTTACAAAGTTATACTTTAGTTATACCCAAATAAACAGTGGAAAAGTTACAAAAAAGTTATACCCGAAAAAAGTTATGAAAAAGTTACAAAAAAGTTATACCCGGAAAAAGTTATACCCAGGAAAAGTTATAACTAAAAAAAGTTATACCTATTATAAAGTTATGAAAAAGTTACAAAAAAGTTATACCCCAAGAAAGTTATGAAAAAGTTATAGAAAAGTTATACCTAAAAAAAGTTATAACTGCAAAAAGTTATAACTATAAAAAGTTAACCTATTAATAAAAACTTTCTAAAAGTTCCAGTGAAATTATACACTGTATGTTAACCTGTTGTGGATTTACTCAGGTATAAGCTTTTAAAAAGCTACTC